TGTGTATACGCGTTGTTATTTTAAAATGATTTTAGCGTTACCGCATGCGCATATGATGCTGCCACGGGGTTCTCATATTCGAAATAGCTCTTATCTTTAATCGTTCATAACATGGCTAAAAAGTAAGGTATTGAAATAAGAAAAAATGTATTTTATAGAGCATGAATAATACATTCATGACTCCTGATCAAAATTTCAAGATAACGTTAACCTTCTTTATTAAAAAATGTCAAATATCGCAAAAAAAAAGCTATTTTTTAAGAATTAAACCTCAATTATCTTGGAAATCTGACGTGCTAGAATTTTTCCATTTGCGGCATCGTTTTCAGCATTTAAAAATCTATAAGAGACATGTAGTCCGGTCTAAAGTAATTGAAAAAAAAAATTTTTTGTAAACTATAGTGTTATTAACACAAATTTTTAATTCTTTTTGCATAATAAAAAATCCATAATTTAATGATTGAAATGTGTTATTTTTTGTTTAGATACAAATGCAAAAAGTTGCATTATCATAAGATTAAAGACGCGTTATATTATAACGCATTAATACTATTGTAATATGATAATAAATTATTTCATAATCTATATTTTTGATAAGTAAGAAAGAAGCAGATAAGTAACAAAAGTTATTAAAACACTTTCTATATAGGCCCTATATAACCTTCTACCGGTAAATAAGGTTCTATCATGAGTAGATAATAGCTTCAATAGTAAGGTAACTATATATAATGTTACATAAAAAATAATTGCCTTTCATATATATACTATTTGTTGATAAATAATTTTATGCTATAAGTAAATAAAATATTTTTTTAGTAATAATATTAATACTAAATGTTTTATCGATAAACTGTTAATAATGTTGCTCTTGAAATAGATAGATGGCATCAATGAAAAATCTCAAATAATATTTTCTTATAATTATTAAAATGTTTGTACATTCTATTTAAATTATTTATGCACATATAATTATTTAGATGTTCCTTGTTTTTTTATTTAAATTAATAGCACTCATATTAAAACCGAAAAAGTAGAGTATCATTAAAAAGAAAGTAATTTAATGATTAAATATATTATCAAACATTACATAAAAAATTTGACTACTTTTCAGCATTTAATATTTCAAAAAATAGGTAAGTAAAAAATATTTTATATTTTAATAGCTTAAAAAGTATTCAATTTATTGTAAACTTTTTATAGGTATTCAATATATTCCCAGATTTCAATTTCGTACTAGTGCAAATATTTTTTTAGCTATATATTTAGCAATTATTTTCTAAACATGTTTTGTTTCCTTAACATTGTAAATTATTATAAGATATCTTACATATATATTTTCTAGATATATAGTTCTATATAAATTTATTCATATAACATCATCCTTTTCTTATCACAAATATTTTTTGCAAAAATGCAAAAGTATATACTTGCTTTTCGATTTCTATATAGTGAGAGAGGAAAGGAAGAGATAATGAGAATTCCAGACACGGAAATCAATTTGTCCGGTTCAATTATGCGAAACGCAGTAGTTGGATGATCTGATTAAGGGAGGTCGAGCAATAAATTTCTAATACTAAGAAAAGGTCAATTCGTGACTATCTTCTCAACTTTAATCGTAATATCAAGACAAGTATGAAGTCGGTTAATCCACATTTAAATAAATAAGAAGAAGCCATAGATCTAAACTAGAATATAATTTGTCACGGCTGTATACTTGCATCCATCAAATCAACTTTTACACGTGAAATATTTTTTTTATATTATTATTATCGATCAATCTAATATAAAATATGTAGCCTCAAAATTTATTATGTCAATGTGATCATTTAAATAATATAGGAGATGTTATTAAAACATGAATGATTATATGTATAATAAATAATAAATACATAAAAAATAAAAAAAAGGATAAAATTGTGCTTATAATTCATAAACTTCTTTTTTATTTATATATCGAAGTAAAAATGTTCCGAGATAAAATGAAAAAATGAATTGTAAAATTGTATACATATATTTAATCTCATACAAGAAAAAAAATACGTGATTTTTATTGATTTTATTATATCGTTCTTTTTTATTTAATGAATATTTTAGCTGTATTTGACGATAAATTCTTCTCTCACGGGGCGTTTTGTTCATCAATTACAACCCTGCGTTCTAAGCCGACGTTAGGGGTTCTTGGCCTGCAGATGAACGCAAAGCGCAGTAGGTTCCAATACGAGGGGTTGTTAACATCAATATTCACACAAGAGTTGGTTTCTTAAATGTCGATGGACATGTACAAATTAAAATCACAATGTGAGAAGAGATTGCCAAATCTTTCTCCAAAGGTGTGTATCTTAATTGTTGCTAAAATGCTCAGTTTTTAATAAGTGCTCATCCCTTTTCATTAATCGTAATTAATAAAGTTTTGACTTCCGGAAGAACGATTTTTCAATTTCATCATTACAGTTATTATATTCCATAAATTTAGATTTTAATACAAAACCAAAGGTGTTCACAATATATGTATTGTTCCGATTATTACATCACCACTACTCGATTTAAAATAGCTCTATAAAGCTAGTAGGACCAAATCAGCAGAATCAAATCGGACGTATCGAAATTTTTAGTACTCATTTTGTACTAAATTGTACCATTAATAATAATTTTGTACCGTGTGCCATTTCGAAAAAAATCACTGCTGGCTTAATATTAAGCTAGCAGGACCAATTCAAAATAAAAGATAAAAAAAA